TAAGGAAACTTGTCAGTTTTAGCCTTGGCTCTGGATTGGTGCAGGAGAGGTATTCTGTGATAATTCTGACTACACATCCTCTTTGATGCCAGAGTAGGTCTAAAATTCACACTACCTGTGTTTTCCCAGAAAATCCAAGTTGAAAATTTATAGTGATTCAAAATTGGCCACTCCTTCTAGGCAGACATCTAGCAGAAGGAAAACAGATTCTCTCCTTAAGTGCCCATTTAAACATAATATTCAAGTTCCAAGGAAAATGGGCTTACCATATAAAATCATAAAGCATGTAAGTCATCATGAGCATGACTTAGCAGAAACGACAAGTTGCAAAATCAAGTCCTCAAAGACTACAAATATTGGAATTATCAGATAATAGGCTATAAGATTTGAATGTTTTAATATGCTTAGAGGAAGAAGGAAGACACTGAAAGGATGATCAAGAAACAGAAAATTGGTCATATAGATTTGAAAAAAAGAACCAAAAGGGACTCTTAAGAAATGAGAAATATAAATGAGGAGCTTAGAAACATACTGGAGAAGCTTGAACATCAGCATCTTAGAAACACCTCAAGAGAATTGATGAACCTGGAAGAAAGATCTTAAGAAATTGCTCAGAATGCAATTAGAGAAGCAGAGAAATGGAAAATGGGGAAGAGGTTGACATAGGGTAGGAAGGTGTGATACATATTTTATTGGAGTTCCAGAAGGAAATAATAGAGTAGTTGGTGAAGAGGCAATATTTGAAGAGATGTTTGCTGAGAATTGTACAGAATTGATGAAAGAAATATCATATTTCAAGGGAGCCCACTGAATCCCAAGTACAATAATGAAAGAAAGAATTTCACACTTAATGTTCACAGAAATGCAAAACATCATTGACAAAGATTAAGCCACCAGAGAGAGAGATTACTAATGGCAGCTAGATCGATTGCTGATTTCCTGTTAGCAATAGTGCAACCCAGAAAGCAGTGGAATATCTTTAATGTGCTTGAAAGGGAATATGTGACTATTGTCTTTGATTTTATGAACTAGACACTGTAACATTTATGCTCTGGTTTGAAAAATCCCTAGAAGATGTGATTAGCTTTTTTATTTTAAGTTTCATAATTTTTGTGACTCAAAGCAACATTTTATTTTTTATTTTATTTTATTTTATTTGTCTTTTTTCCGTGTCCGGCAACGGATCGCAACCCTCAGTGTTGCCCCCGTACCGGACCGGGGACCGGCAACGGGATCGCAACCCTCGGTGTCGCTCCCGCGCCTCGCTCAGCCAGTGAGCGGGAACCGGTCTGTATGTGGGATCCGAACCCTCAGGTGGGAGCGCCGCCGCGCTTCCCAAGCGGCGCACTTATCCAGTGCGCCACCGGGCCAGCCCCTCAAAGCAACATTTTAATGGAATGCCTTACAAGGAAAAAATCTGATCTCATTATTGCAGCAGATCATGTTCCCTTCCAGCCCATGTCCACATGCTTAGGTACATTTTGCAATTGTAGTAATCTATGAGCTGTAATCATTCTTTGGTTAATACTCTTTCTGGAGTCAGGCTGCCTGAGTTTGATTCCTGACTTCATGCTTAATCTCTGTGTCTTTAATTGGGTATGTTATTTCTCTGTGCCTCTCATAATTGGGCAATCTGTAAAAGAGACATACCAGTACATGTCTTATGGACTGTTTTTAAGAAGTAGGTGAGATGATAGATGTGTAAAGCATTCGGTACAGTGCCTAGCCCACAGAATTGCTTAACACATTTGCTTTATTATAATGGTGGTTATGGGTTTTTTCCACTTAATTATGTGAAAGTATTTTTCAGTTTTGATTACTTTACCTTATTTCACTGACCCCACTACACATATTTTTGTACATATTAATTTCTCTGAAAATTGGGATACATCTTACAATGTTTGGTGTGTTATAGTTTAATGAACAGCAGTTTTTTTCTTTGTGGTACATTAGTATCCCTTCAGGTTGTATAAAATGTGTCAATGTGATAATTTTGTGGGGTTTTTTTCTTTTTTTTTAAATTTTACTTTTATTGTTATTTAGAGATCTTTATAATTTTGAATGGCTGTGTAATACTTTACCTAGTGAGTATATCATAATTTCCTTTGTTCCTTGCGTGTTTGACTTTGGGTTATTTTCGTTTCTTGGCTTTTATAAGTAATTTTTTTTTATATATGCAAATATGTGGCAATATGAGTTGCATGATTTTATGTGGTCTCCAGTAACGGATGTTGGCCAGTTCTATGCCAGTCTGGATATTATTTTTAAGTGCTTTGCTAATCTAATTATTAAATGGCACTTTGTTTCCCTATTTCTAGTTTTTTGTTACAGTTTTATGTATAGTCATCTATCTTGTGATTTTTGTCTGTTCATTGCTAATTTGCTATGACATAATAGTTTACATTCAGCTTTTAACTTTGTAATTATTTTGATGGAATGCATTTGTTTGTGTAGTATACTTTTGAGGTTGAGACTGCAGAATTGCCTTCTATTCAAAACCAATATAGTGTATGAAAAAGATTATGGAGTATCTACTTTATACTGAGTGTTAACTACTTTTCAAGCATTAGTGTAATTTAATTTTTAAAATAAGGAATTTTTACCCCAGTTTACATTTGAGAAAATTGAGGCTCGGTTAAGTTAAGAAATTTTCCCAGGATCACACAATAGTTCGTTTTAGAGCTAGGTGATTAACTCAGATGGTTAGAGCATCGTGTTGTAACATCAAGGTCAAGGGTTCAGATCCTCATACTAGCCAGTCACCCCTCCCCCCACTCCAAAAAGTTCATGTTAGAGCTGTGGTTTGGATTCAGGTATGATTTCAGAGCTTTAATCATTATGTGTTTAGACAGTGATTATAAACTACCTTGAAATAACTATTTTGCTTAACTAAAGCCACATACTACTCTGCATAGCAGTCCTGTGAGTTAGGGATATTCCTAGTAGGTATATGGCCCTTTCACTGTATCTTTTTCATGTATGGATCTTATTCGTTAAATGAGTGTCATACTCTTTGTATTTATCAAGGTTCAGAAGTTAGATATCTCTTTCTGAGAGCTGTGCTTTTACTATGCTCTTTTCTTGGGTAGGAACATAACTGCTATTCTCAGAATTGAGGAAAGAGAGGGAGAATAAGTAAATAAACACAGATTTTCTTCTATTTAAGAATATGAGGGTACTTCCAAAAGTTTGTGGGAAAATAGAATTGAAAGATAATATGAATCTTTCCATGAACTTTTGGAAGTACCCTCATACTTAATTAAATCCTGTTCACATGGCAGGAGGTTTAGGCTTTGACAAGCTTCTCATTTTTCTATTCTTCTGTCAGTCAGAAATTAATGCTGTACCTAACTGCCTAAATCACATTCACCAGTGAACTCAGCTCCAAATCAGTGGCCTACCAGAGAGAGAGTAGTGGGAGAGTATCGGCAGGTCATAAGCTTGAGTTAATTAATTCCCTGCCCATTGTGTCCACCTTCTGTAGGCCCATCCAGGGGAAGGGCCTACAGTCAACAGGACAACTTTCTGGAAAGGGGATGAACTTTTCTCAGGGTCATTAATGTGCTTGAGAAGGATCAAGCCCTGTCGTTTGGTTGGATGAGGTGAGAGAGGTACATTCATCCACTCTTCTTCCTTTCTCTGTCTCTCTACTTTTTTTTTTTTTTTTTTTTTTTTTTTTTTTTTTTTT